GCTCCAATGCTGACAGCCCTGCCACAAAGCCCCACACATTGGACGACCCAGAGAGGGGTCCCGACTCCCTAAGTTCTCTTCCAAAAGAAGATGGAGGCACAGAGAGGTTAAAGGCCACGTAGCCAGTGACAGGTCATTGACCTGAGCCTTCTACCTGGTGGTAGGGACAGGCCCTCCCTTTGAGAGGCTCAGCCCTCATAGTGGGGAGGGTGGAATTCCTCCAAGGAGGGACTGAAAGGATGGAGGCTCAGAGAGGACACAAGTAGCCCGCAATCACCACTGACACACACACACACACACACACACACACACACAGCCAGCAAGGGCTGTCCCATGGGGGAAGAGGTCCCCACATCCCAAAGGCCTGAGAAAGCAAAGGTAGAGGCCTCAGCAGACCTCACCAGTGTCCACCATAAGCTCCCACTCCAGCAAGAGGAAGTGAGATGGGGGTTCCAGAGACTGGGAATCTCCTGGTTCACCCCTAACCTGAAGCCAATGGATGGACTCCCTAGGTAGACTGGGGCAGCTGGGGCACACCAACCAGAAACAGGGAGGCCACAGGGCTGGCCTGAGCTTACAGATTCGCTTCACAGAAACAGGACCAGCTTAGTCAGCCCCCTTGAAAGTTCCAAAACAGATCACTATATCCTTTCACTCTGAAATTCCCCTCCTGGGAATTTACCCAAAGAAGGAAAAAGCTGTGAGCACAACGGAGGTCACCACAGGGTTGTTTATAAAGAGACAGACACTGGAAGATTTAAGTGGCCAGCTCTGGTGCTGCCCTTGCCAGACGGTTTGGCAGCCCTTAAATCCAGCAAGACTGAGGATTAAGATGGACAGCAAGGGGTGCTTAGAGCCCATTTTTTCCTTAACAGACTAAAATTGTGCAGAGATCACAGTTAAGAACACACACAAACTCTAGGATGAGAAATCTTGGACAGATGAAGACTGACTATTAGCTCATCTATGAAATGCGGCTAATTTCAGTGATGCCTCAGGAGTGTGAGGCTAAAATGTGATAACACAGACACAGGGCTTACCTTATAGCTCAGGCCAGATGAGTGCTCAAGAAATAGCAAATCAAAATGATAGAGCTTTTATCACACTGAAGACTGGTAAAAAACAAAAACGCTTGATGACACCAGTGTTTCCTGAAGGTTCAGGAAACAAGCACTCCCATCTATTGTTGGAGAGCAATCTGACAGCATCCATCAAAGCCTTTAAATGCACATACTCTGAGATCAGAAATTTCACTACAAGGAACTTGACCTATCTTTGGAGTACTATGCCAAAACATATTCATGGTAGTTCACACTGTAATAATTATATACAAAGCTGGAAACGGGGGTCTACCAACAGCAGAAGGGTTATAGAAATGGTTCCATCCACAGAATGGGATTCTGTGGAACTGTTAAGGCAAGGAAGAGCAGTGATACCGCTGGCAGGAATTTCTGTGTGTACAGCATGACCAATTTAGTGTAACTTTCATACACATTATCATTAGGTAAAAGCTCAAGACTATTTTTCTAAACGTAGTCCAGAAAATTTATTTTGTGGAGACACTAGGATTCAGTAGAGATTGGGAAGTAGATATATTTTTAATTTTACACCTTTCTCTCTTAATTTTAACCATGTGTACGTTTATATAACACCTATATATTACAAACACATGGGCTGACAGGGTTATCTGAATGGCAGAATTACAGGCCACTTAATTTTTTTTGATATATTTTTTTTAACCAGCTTAACCATTTTTAAGTAGTCTGTTATGCAACCACCACCACCATCCATCTCCAGTTTTTTCAACATTCCAAACTTGTACTCATTAAACTTCCCATTCCCCCTCCTTCCAGGCCCTGGTAACCACCATTCTACTTTGTCTCTCTGAATCGGACTGCTCTAGGGGTCTCATATAAGCAGAATCATTCTACTGTCCTTTAGTGACTGGCTTATTTCACTTCACGTAATGTCCTTAAGGTTTATCCATATTGTTAACATGTGGCAGGATTTCCTTCCTTTTTAAGGTTGAATAATATTCCTTTGTATGGATATACTATATTTTGTTTGTCCATTCATCTAACAATGGACATTTGGGTTATTTCCATTGTGAATAGTGTTGCTATGAACACAGGTGTGCAAGCATCTGAGACCCTGCTTCAATTCTTTTGGGTATATACCCAGAAGTGGAATTGCTGGTTCATATGGTAAATGTTTAAATTTTTGAAGAACTGCCAGACTGTTTTCCACAGCAGCTATATTATCTTCCCACCAGCAATGCATGAGGGTACTTGGTTATTTTTGTTTTCTTCTAACGGCTGCTAAGGAGACTTACGTGATCTTCCGGCTTTTCCTGGTGTTGCTGGTACCATGTAGTTTGTGAAATAAGTAACATGTTCTGTGATGGCAACAACTGACATCTTGCACACACCCTGGCCCCAAATGGTGGAGGCCCAGGTGTAGCCAGGGCAGGTCAGAGCGTCTAGACAATAAAAGCCTGCCCTCTATGGCCCATGACTGGTACCCCCTTCCACTGCCCCAGGGCAGGGAAGCTCCTGGGGGAAGTGGAAAACCTTAGTAAGGTACTTACCTCAACAGGCCCTCCCAGTGCCAGGGATTCCTGGCAGGACTGGTCATGGCTGCTGTCCCTGGACGCTGAAGTGAGGTTCTTGAGTCAGGCCTCACTGCCTGTTGTCAGCAGAGAGAATGCAGCAGTCAGTGCCCATGGCTTCGGGGTCAGCAAGCAGGCCTGGGCATGGGCTCAAGAGGCCTGGTCATGGGAGTTGCCCCACCCACAGGCAACTACAGAGTGAGGCCCCCAGGGGCCCTCTAAGGTCAGGCCTGCAGCTTCTGGAGCCCTCAAACCCTTCTCCCAGGTTTCTCAATATTTGGACCAGGGAACACCTGCATCAGAATAGTAAATTGGGATGGGATTAAAGATGCAGACTCTTGGGCCCAGGGCCCAGACTTGGATTAAAGTTTGGTGTCCAGCCTAGAGATCTGTATCACTGAGAAGCATAATCAAATTTCAGAATTACAGATTCAGGCAAAAGCTGGCCTCATTCTCTGGGAAAGAATTCAGAGGCAGGAGTGTGGCCTCCAAACTAAGGCTGGCAAGGAGCACTCCTGACATAAGCTCTGTAGGGGTCACATCTGCCAGGTCCCTGGCACACAGCATGGGTTCAGAAGTGAAGGGTGAAGGACCAAGGTGGAGGACCTGGAACACCTTCCTTAGGACCCTGCCTCCCTGCTCAGCAGAGGGACCTCCAGGAGAGAAGGGCAAGAAGTCTTCAGAGTGATAACATCAGTCCCCAGTTCCCCAAGAAAAAACTGGGATCTCCATTACCCTTGTGATGGTGATAATGTTCCCAATGGGGACCATGCTGAACTCCTCACAGGATCATTCAGTCTTCAGTCCAGAGGAGGATGAGGGAGCCCAGAACGTGGAGGCTAACCACCTGGCCCCTGACCCACAGCACTAACAGGTGAGCTGAGACTTTTAGAACCCAACCCAGTCTGATTCTAAACCTATGCTTCAAACAATCTGGAAGGAGCCAGGAGGAATGACAAGCATCAATTAAAACATCTCCACATTGGCTGTGCGAAAATCCAGACAGCAAAAGGTACCTGTGGTGACTGCAGGCATGTGGAAGGGCATCCCTTATAAGGTTGCTTGGTCTCCTGCAAGTGGATCAGTGGGACAGCGACAGAGCTGGTCAGCCTGATTGTGCCCCTGCTTCCTGGGGCTCCTCACCCTCATGAGGTTTTCTGTTTATGAGAGCAAGTGACTGGCAGGGAAGCGCTTCAGCATCCTCCAACTCAAACTCCTCTGATTCTTTGACGTAAACTGAGAGTGTTTTCAATCCTATGTCAGGTGCTCTAGAAATACAGTTTCAGTTGTCACTTCAACCCAGTTGTCACCCCAGCACTGCCGAGATGGAAATACTGGAGCTGCAGGTGTGAGGGGCCTGAGGAATCCAGTGCAGGGTGCTGCTGGGATGGACAGGCCAGACTGATCCAGGGGCTCCCAGCAGAGATGAAAGGGGAGGAACGTGAGGCTGCTGATGGAAGGCGGTGCACAGGTGTGGGTTCCAAGGCACAGACTGATCCTGAGAGAATCTCAGGGCTCATGGTGATGAGCCTGACATGCAGAAACAAGGTCAGGAGGGTGTGGCTGGGCTTCCTCCCCAGAGGAGAGATTTCACCTTTTCTCCCAAAGCACTAACTGATCATGGATGCTCAGAGGCGAGCTGAGGAAGGACACGAGCCTGCATCCTGCAGCGAGCCTGCATCCTGCAGCGAGCACAAATGAGCAGTGTCTTCTCTGGGCCACACATTCACCTGGCATGACTCCAACTGCCTGCTGGGCTCTTTAAAAACTGCTCCATCAAATGATGCTGCCCAAGCTTTGGTTCTCATACTGAAAGATACTTTAACAGTAATCTTTTGCCCACTTTAAATTGCAGTTACCAGATGTTCTAAGCTCCTAAACTATTGTACACTCTATGTTTTTACACATTAAGACAGAACTTTCCATTTATGTCAAATTCCCATTTTGTACCACCTTTGGCTAATTTTATTTTGATGAGACTTTGGGGTTAGCTGCGACACCCCCCACTACCTTCACCTCCAAAAGCATCACATATTAAACAAGGGGGAGAGGGTGGGTAGTCTCCCAGCACCCGAGCCCAGGGAATGAGCCCCCTGCTGACCCCACAATAGAATGCTGAAACCAGACACCGACCTCAGCGCCCGACAGAGATAGGCAGACTCAGTCTAAAGTCTGGCCAAAGACTCTCCCCAGGAATTTACCAATCAAAAATGCGAATGGATGAGCCAGCTCAGTATTACCTGAGGTTCCCAATCCTCCCAGCTCCCAGCACTCTGGGAAAAAGGGAGTCTATTTATGGCAAATAATTCTAGAGCTGAATCAATGCACTGTAAATAAGAGACCAAAAAAAAAGAATCTATAAAGGGCTTCCATTCTGACCAACCCAACATCATTACTGTACAAAAAACAGTTTTATTAATTACCCCAACTGTGCCTCTGTTCATGCTCTAGGTCACACTTGTTTCTCAGATTCGGCCCAGGCTCATAGGCAAGTTACCAGATTAGCAAATAGGAAAACTGTTCTGCAAAACAGCAACTGTCAGCTTAAGGCATTACTAACATTGCAGAAAGAAGCAAGGTTACTAGGGAAGTTTGGACAACCCAGGATAATGATTTCTGGGACAGGAAACCCTCTCTGAAAGGGCCAGTCCATGCTGCTGCTGGGAGATGACACTCTTGCTCTGGGGAACAGGTCGCTCCTTTAAACCCATCCACAACATCACAGACAAAACACTTTCTATTCCTCGAGCTTTCAGATTTAGAAGTTAGTTCTATAAAAAGCACTCTGTCCCAGAAGCCCCGACACGTCCACGGGCCTCTGAGTGCTCACTTGGTCCTCCCTGACTGGAGCAGAGGAGGATGGAGATATATGGAAGGTTGGTCAGGCTCAGTTTTTAAAAATGAAGTCACTACTAGAAATACGGAGCAAGGGGCAGAGACCCCTGCTGCAATCACATGCTGAATCATTGTCCTCCCAGAGAGCGGGCTCCTACAGGTTCCTTCAGTCCATGGAAGTGCTCAGAGCGGGGCAGGCCAGTGTGGCCACGGAGCTGTGCCTGCCTCACTGCATGCCGAACCACTGCTCCTGGTCAGCCCACTGGGCCGCCTCACTGTCGCTGCCCTCCAGGTCCCCTTCTTCCCCACTCCCTTCCATGTCGTCCACATCCTCCTCCTGAGTGGCATCCGTGGGACTCTCCTCCTTCTCCATCTTCTGCATCCCCTCTAGAGACTTCTGGTCATTGGGGTCCAAACTAGGGGACAACAAAACAAAGGAGAGGCCTGAATCTCTGCCTTGCTTCTTGCTGGCTGATGCGTCATCTCTCCCTGGCACAGCAGTGAAATGACCACCCAGTCACAGAGAAACTGCTAATGCCTGGCCTCTCCAAACAACTCCAGTTCCATAGGGAAGATCGAGGGAGTCCACCACTAGAAGTGAAAAAAGCCATCTTGTCCTAAGTTTTAGAATTCTCAATTTGAGTTTTCTCCATTTATTTCTTAAACCTTTTCACACTTAATACCCCTAGCATTCTGCTAGAGGAAGATACTAGATAACACAAATGAAAAAGTAGCAAACAACCATTAACAGAAAAATTCAAATATAATTTAACAGTATTAGGTTTTTAAGTTACAAGTTTACAAAAAATACTTATTTTTTTGTGAGTAAAACTGTTCCATGTTCTTATGATATAATTAAACATATAGCATTTCAGTAGTCAACCAAAATCATCATGCTTACCATGGAACAGATTTGTCAACTCCTAGGTTAGACCCCAGGACCCAAAGCTACCCAACCTGGGCATTTGACTGTAGCATCTAAGAGTATTGTGCATGCCAAAACCCTCAAAGTTCAGAGGGTCCAGAACATTTATTTACTTGGTTCCTAAGCAATCTCTCCTCTTGCCTTTGTGACCATCACTGAGGCCAGCCGGTGTCCAATCTCTAGCAAATCCCACCTCTATATTTTATTTTCACATTTGCTTCTGGGTTTCCAAAAAGCAAATGAAACCCATGTTGGAATCCTGTTCCTACTTATATAACTGTAGATTGACTGTAACATCTCCTATTCTCTGAAACCTTCCATACAGCTCTCACCCACACGCAGCGCTCCCCACCCTCTGCACTCCCACCCTGCCTTCTAGAGACTGCTTTGAAAGCACTTAGCACATGGTATCTATCAGTCTGCACGTCTGAGACTGAGAGCTCCCAGAATCACAGCATCCCCAGTGTTTACTGAGATGCCAGGCACATGAGTGGTGCTTAACTGCTGAACAAGTAAATGGATGTGATCAGACTCGATTAAAGACAGGCCTCCACCATAACTTTATAGACACACAGACGACCCTCAAAGAAATCACTTCTGTATTAAGCAGTAAGAATACCACTATTTATTTAGTATTTACTATATACCAGGCACAGTGCTAAGAGCTTTACATGGAATAATCATTTAATCCTCGTTTAATCATTTAATACCTAATAAGGTAGATATAGACAAGGAAATCTGTTAGTAACTTGCCCAAGATAACAGGTGGTAAAGGTAGTATTCTTCAGAGCTTAAGTTCTTAACTACTACAGTAGGTAGAAACATGGGAAAGTACTTACAATACGTTGATTGAAAAAGCAGAATATAAAATATATACTACATATAACCCTATAAAAATACGTATATGTGTTGGCAAGGCCAGGAAGATGATCTACACAAATGAAAACAGATGTTATAGTGGTGTGGCTGGTTATGAGTGAAACAGTTCTTTAATGTTAATATCACTTAAGGAAAAGACTTTAGAAGTCATAAATTTACAAACAACTCTACCATTACTATTATTACTGTTTTCAACCATGGGCACAAAGTGTGTGTGTTTCCAGAACTCCTGTTACATTGTTCCCTGCTTCCTCTACCCCTCAATGACCTTCCCCCCATGGGAGGCTAAGTGCCTACCTTAGTGCTATACTATACTGGTCCATTGCTTCCTGATACTCATTGACAGCTACAAGGAAATCTCCTAGGATCCGATGCAGGACACAGTCACTCTGATTAGCTAGTGCGTTCCGCAGCAAAGCAATTCCATCTTCATATTTCTGTTCTCTGCCTGAAAAGAAAAAGACTCTCATTTTCCTACTTACATAACATTTCGAAATATATTCCCATCGCAAGTCATATACACAAAACCACAACAACGATCACAATCCAACATCTATTTATAGATGTCAAGAGAACAGTGGTGTGGCAGGAATTGAGAACAAGGTCGTTTGAATTCTTATTCCATTAAGAACTCTGCAGTTTGAGTTCTGATTTTTAAAAACTTACAACCAAAGTTCATATAAAAAGCCAAAATGGATTTTATTTGCTAAACTACCCTAAACTCAGTTCATCATAAATCAGGACTTAAAAAACCAAGTCTAAAAGGGAAGTCATAAGATGGGTCAAGATGGGTCAAAACAGTTCAAATTGGTTAAAACCAAGTTATATTCGGCCCAAATTAGTTCAGGACAAAGTGAGCTGAATAGGTACTAACCAAGTACACCTGGTTTGAGCCACTCCACAAAAGTCATTCTAAGCCAATTACATTTGGTTGTGCTAAATATAAACCAATTCACATGGGCTCAGACCTAGTGCAAAAGCACACACCTGTTTGGTCATCTGTAACCAACTGGGACTAGGGAATCCAACTGAGATCAGGTTTTACACAATTAACTACGAACAGGGAAGTAAACAAGATACACTTACTAAGCAGTTCCGCTTTTTTCACCACAGCCTTAATGTAGTCCGGCCTTTGAGTCAGGGCTTTATCTAATAAAGTTTTGGCTTTCTCCTGTGTCACTGGGTCTTCCAGACAAACGGTGGCTAAAAGGGTAAGGGTCTGTGCATTTGCTCCTAGAGTTTTGTAAACATTGTTAGCCATTACCATTGCTTCACGAATACTGTTGGAGGCTAAGTAACATTCGATGAGACCTGAAAAAATATAACACAAAGTTCAACCACATTACCATTCCAAGCCATGCTTCCATTCTGACAGCCTTCCAAATTACAAACCTTCAAAGTTTAAAACAAAGGGCAGGCCAAGGGAAAAGTCCGATGGTGAGATCAGACTGAAGGGTATGTTGATGGAACAGCTAAGAGGTGCTCTTCCCCAGAGCACTTGACGGACGAGGAAAAAGCCTGTAGCGCAAAGGCACCTTCAGTTAGTGAAGGAAACAAACATGCACAAGTAAACCAAAGCATGTAGGCAGCCCAGCTGCAAGTCAGAGGAACGAATGTGACACTAACTAATGTGACATTAACATACTGTGAAAGACGAGGTTTCCAACAAAACCCAAGGTTTTGCTGCCTCTTAACAAACTGTTAATTTCCAGCTGTGCTCAGTCACCTTTAGTCCTACATTTAAGGGGGAGGGCTCCTACAGTCCACAGCGAAATGTCCAGCTCTAAAAACTTAAGGACCTAGGGAGCAACCTCAGGAGAAAGGAAGACCTTTTCATTTGAAACATAAACGTTATCTCAAGAAGCATTTGCTGAGGGTTTCCCTAAACTGGATGGAAAGGGCTTAATCAGATGGATCAAATACACTGAGATCGGCAGCTCCTGCCTCTTTCCATACCCACAGCAAGATGCTCCACGGGGACATTTCAAGTACAGTCAACTCTCAACTGTTCATGCCAAGAAATCAAAGAGAACAGAGGAGGTACTTTTTAGTCCAAAGCACTCATCAAAACAGAAAAACAGCTTAAACCCCAAACCCACACACTCCCTGGCAGATTTTCTCTGTATACTCCTCCACCCTAGTGGCATTTATAATATATGTGCACATTCTACCACACACTATGGTTACTTAACCAGAAATTACCTAACGCTTAAGGGCAACGTGGTGGATTCAGAATATGGTGGTTGGTTGTAACTACCTACTAAATAGTTTTACTTTCCTGCTAAAGCCCCACTGGAAATTCAGAGGGAAATGTGAAGAATGCACTTCACTGATCCAGGGCCCCCACCAGTAAAGAAAGCTTGGTTGGCGGCTGCAAGAACCACCAGAAGCCATAACCAAGTCACACCGATCCAAATTTCCAAATTGTGGCTTGAGTGAAGGCATCCCATAAAGCCTCACTGGCCAACTGGGGAACAACTCTAACTATCCTGTGTCCAACCACTCACTGTGGTAATGCAGTTAGCTGCATTCTTAGGCTCTTGTGAAACAGGCACACAGCAGACAGGAGTTAGCGTGATAAAAGCAGCTGGGAGGCTAGGGAAGCTACAGTTTCAGGATCAAGAATTTAATCTGAAACCAAAAGCTTGGTTTGTTGCAGTTTCTTAAGAACAAATCCACAACAGGCATAGTTCTCTGGCTATCTAAGCAGATTTGTTCTTTACACCAACTTCCAAATTTTATTTCTCAAATTTGAACTCATCTTCCTGTTAAGAGCAAATCACTCCTAGACTCCTGGGTTTATTTTTAAATTCTTATAAAAATATGCTTTGGAGGAACTGCATCTTGTAAGATTTATTTTAACGTCTCTGACTGAGTCACCAAATGCTGCTGAAGCTGGCATAGCTTTGAACTCCTAGGGGCAGTTCACACGAACTTAAAATAGTACATAACAAAGTTTGACCCTGATCATGCCTACTCTAGAGGTCACAATGAACTGACCAGTTCCCACAACCAACACTGTCATATGGATACTGAGTTACCCTATGAGTAATATTTCTGGCCCAAGGTAAGACAGCTGTAAAAAAGAATAAAGACAGGGACTTCCCTGGTGGTCCAGTGGTTAAGACTCTGCACTCCCAATGCAGGCCCGGGTTCGATCCCTGGTCAGGGAACCAGATCCCACATATGCTGCAACTAAATAAAGATCCCACACCCGGCAACTAAGACCTGGCACAGCCAAATACATAAATAAATATTAAAAAAAAAAACAATAAAGACGTACCAAGCAATCCAGCACAGTGCCAGCACAGAGAAACTCACATTAATGAGTGGGCCACGTTTGAGAAACAAAACATGACAAAAAAAACCAACCCAACTATACCCTAACCAAAAATCAGAAACAAAAAATGAAAAAAAATGGATTTAAAGTATGGAGTGAAAAGTCTGGCCATAAATGAATTTATAATGCCTAATGCAGTGGTTCCCAAATATGTCTGCACAATGGCATTACCTGTGATCTTAAAAAAGTACTGATGCCTATATCCCAACAGCAAATATTCTGACTTTAACAGTACTGGAGTGACCTAGCATCAGGATTTTTCAAAGTTCCCCCAGAGGACTCCAATGTACAACAAACTTTGGAAACTGCTGGCCCAATAAAACCTTCCATCTGAGTGCTGTCGCCACATCTACAGATCCACACCATTCATCTATATTTTTTATCTTACCTTCATAACAATCTAAGCGACAAGGTGCAAGACGTATAGCCTCCCGAAAGTGGATTATTGCTTCTTGGACTCTGCCCATGTTTCTAAGTGCTGCTCCCTTAAGTAGCAAAGCTTGAACACTATTACTGTTCAGCTGAATGGCCTTGGCTCCTAAATAGAGGGCTCGGGAGTAGCGTTTGCTATAGAAGCTATGACACCTGGAGGAAAAAACAACCAAAAGTTATCTGAGATAAGACCATAAAGAAACTTCTTCAAAGAGGAAAATCAGAGAAAAGGCCCTCTACGTGATCCTTACTACAAACCCCTTACAACTTTAGCCTAAGATATTAGTGAAAAAACAGAACAACAAGAATCTACTGAATATTTATTTTTAAGGGAGAAATCTTGATACGGAAGGGAAAAATTACAAAAAAGAACCTGATGGGGACTTCCCTGGTGGTCCAGTGGTTAAGAATCAGCCTTCCAACGCAGGGGACGTGGGTTCAATCCCTGGTTGGGGAACTAAGATCCCACATGCCACAGGACAACTAAGCCCGCACGCTCTAGAGCCCATGCACCGCAACTACTGAGCCCACAGGCCGCAACTAGAGAAGCTCACACACTGCAACGAAGAGCCCATGAGCTGCAACTAAGACCCGACACAGCCAAATAATAATAAAATTTAAAAAAAAAAAAGAACCTGACGATCTGGGTATGTTGTCAGGTCAGAGACATTCAGAGAATTTGTAAAGCCAGGTTAATAACAGCAGCACAGTTCCTGGCCTGCTCACTGATGGCTGCCCGTGTGCAGGTGCAGTGCTGAGCATGATACATTCACTATCTCAGTAAACACCTACCCCATAAAGCAGGGATATTATCCTCATTTTCCAAATGCGAAAACAGACTCAGAGAAGTAAATGATGTATCCAAAGTCACAGGCAGACCATGATTTGAATCCAAGTCTTAATTATCCCTTAAACCAAAGCTTTCAAATCTATATTCTATTGAGGAGGAACCACAATTTCCTAAAGGATCTACTAAAACTGGGGAGAAAAGGGAATGCATAAACATACCCAGAGACCACCCAGGGTTCCGCATGTTGATCAGAAATATTGAAAAGGCGGCAGCCAAGGTTCTCCACATCCTCCAGCCGCCCTTCTCGTGCCAGGAGGTAGCCATATACATCCATTCCTACAGAGGAAGAGGCTCATTAAAGCAGCAGGCATCTTTTCTGAAGGAGCTGTAACCTTCATCAGAGTCCACACTGAGGCCCCAGCTCCAGCAGGGTCTGAGCCCTCTCCACCATCATGAGCTCCTCCCACCAGCATTCCCAGTTTCCTACAGAATGACTATTAAAAAGACAAAACAGGGCTTCTCTGGTGGCACAGTGGTTGAGAGTCCGCCTGCCGATGCAGGGGACACGGGTTCGTGCCCTGGTCCAAGAAGATCCCACATGCCGAGGAGCGGCTGAGCCCGTGCGTCCGGAGCCTGTGCTCCGCAACGGGAGAGGCCACAACAGTGAGAGGCCCACGTACCGCAAAAAAAAAAAAAAAAAAAAAAAAGACAAAACACATCCAAAAGTAAAAAACAAACAAACAAAAAAAACAAAACAAACAGTAGAAGGACCTACCTCACAATTTGAAAGCCTGTTATTTTCAGGAACTATTTGTCCCTATATCCTGTGGTGTGATAATACAGCTATCCTAACACATAACCAGAAAAGGCCCAAAAAAGGCATCAAATTAAGTTCTCTCTTCCAACAGGTCTAGACACAGTCAGGAGTACACACTTAATATGACGGTCTCAGAAAAAGTTAGCCTATTCTAGAAAAAGCATCTAGTTCCTTCTGGAGTCTAGTTCATTTAAGATCATCCCCCAGCCCTACCCCCCCCCCCTTTTTTTCACTCATGTTCTATTAAAAAAAAGCCCCAAGCTCGCTGTCACCCATCTCTTACCACCATTCCCCTCCATTCCTTAATATTCCTTCAGATTCCAAAGAAAATGCCTCTCAAACCAAGATTACTGCAGCTCTCCCTGCTGGCCCCTGGACTCGGGTCTGAGCTTCTAACTCCAAGATGCTGACTCTACTGCCAGGCTACTACTTCTAAAACATCATTTTCATCATGGGCACAGGCAATTTGAAGAAGAGGAATAACATTGGGCAGGAGGGGACCTTGGGCAAACAAATTCATCTTTCTGGATCTGTTTCCCCATCTACATGCTTGTGAAGTTCCCCTCCCTGCTCTGTCAACTCTACAAAACTAGGATTTCCCTGGTGGCACAGTGGTTAAGAATCCGCCTGCCAATGCAGGGGACACAGGTTTGAGCCCTGGTCCAGGAAGATCCCACATGCCGTGGAGCAACTAAGCCCATGTGCCACAACTACTGAGGCTGTGTGCCACAACTACTGAAGCCTGCGTGCCTAGAGCCCGTGCTCCACAAAGAGAAGCCACCGCAATGAGAAGCCCGTGCACCACAACGAAGAGTAGCCCCTGCTCACCACAACTAGAGAAAGCCTGTGAACAGCAACGAAGACGCAATGCGACCAAAAATAAATCAATAAATAAATTTATTAAAAGAAAAAAAAAGAGTCTACAAAACTGTTTATTGTCACAAGGTCATGTTTTTCTGATGACCTTTTTGGGGCCTTTACAAGCAGACTTCAGCCTATCTATCCAACCTTATTTCCTACTATTCCTGCGCACATTACCCTTCACTCACTGCCACTCACCCAACAGCCATCCTTTGGAAGTCCCTGTGGCTTACCTCCTTCAGCAGCAATCTTCTTTTAAATCAATGATTTTTTTGTTGTTCACTTCTAATTACTTCCTTTAACCACCTGATCACTTTCTTAGTATCTGTTCACTTACTCCTTTTTAACTATATTTAAGGACACAGTAAAGCTAAATTCCCTAAAAGGATATACGGTCCTGGGGATGCCATCCAAATTCTCAGTCAGGCACATCATAAATCCGTAAATCATAAGGAAGGGCTATGATCCCTCCCCAAACAAAGAAAGCTAAATAATGATCTGTGGGGAGATGACACTTAAATTCAAGCAAAAACAACTGCTCAAAATGGAATTACCCAAGTGTCAGAGACACTGTCAGGGCCTTAAAAAAAAAAAAAAAAAAAGGTAAAAGGCTACTCTAATCAATTTTATAAAATTTTTTTTTACAAAAAACTGTTGAAGATCATGTTACATCTTCTCCCTATCTTCTGATTTGCCCCTCTACAGCCACCTCCATCCTGCCCCAAGAATTACTTACCTTTTATCAGATAAGGATCCAACATCTGTGCCTGTTCAAACTTGAGGACAGAGTTTTTATTGTCTCCAGCTCTGAAGTACAGATCTGCTAAGCTTCCCAGTAGGTCCACGTTATCTCTCAATAAGGACTTTTTCTCTAGTGAACTTTAAGATATTAAACATTGAACCTTAAAATCTATTGTAAATCCTCTTAGTTGTTGAATCTGGGTGATGGGTATATGGGCACTATTTTCTTTTATGTATGTACAAGATTTTTCACAAGGAAAGACTAAAAAAAAAGTATAACTAGATTTTCTTATTCTGAGCTTTTAACTTAAAGTTATACAAGACTGGATAGTAAATACACAGAATAAAGCAGAAATCTCTCTCATTACCTAGAAACTTTCTGGTTGCAGTTTTTCAGAGGATAACATATACTATACGGTGTTAAATGTAATGTCATTCAAAGTGACAGCTACTTATTATTCAACCAAATGACTTTGCCTAACACAAACCCCACTCTTGTCCTTGGACTTTACCTGACTAGAAAGAAAAATCCCAGTCCTGAGGCAACCCAGGTCAGATGCTGCAATAATCTGTGCTTCTGGGGCATCCAAAAAGATGTTCTTCCAGGTTCAAGTATGACACACTAAGGCCGTCTGTTTTGCAAGGGTTACTACTTTTGCAAGTACAGAGCTAAACTTGGTCCAAGTTTACATTTAACAGAGACTATTACATCTGGGACCATTCAGTACATTAACAGACTAACAAAGCCTAGGGACAACTGGCTGTAATACCAACAGATAAGCATCCATTTTTCTGTTTTGCTAATTTATATACATAAAACCCCCATATAAGGGCCCCAAGAATACTGAATCAACTTTGTGGCTCTCACCAGATGGTATTGATTGCTCTCGAGTTGTCACCAACGTGCACAAAAGCATACGCTTTGATCCACACAGAAAGCCAATCTAAGTTAGGCAAGGTCTGGATCACGTTCATCGTCATTGATGCCACCTCTGCACCTTTTACAGAAAGGGACAGCAAACCTAATCCAACAGAAAGTAGGAGAAAGAAGGTGAGGCATAGCATCCTTCTTCTACAATGCAAAAAGCAATAGGCTACCCTTTCCCTAGGTTATAAGGCAACCCTTTCCCTATTCTAAGCAAGATGGACATGACAGAACAACTACAGTATTTCTTGATCAGTGAAAGAATACACGGCAATAGTAACCTATTGACTCACTCTCTGGAGGTGAAGCATGGGCAACTTTAAAAAAAATAAACTTATTCTAATGTACAGCCAAGATTATCTTAGAGAGTAAACACTCCATGAAAATAGGGAGAATGACCTGTACCTAGAATGGCATCAAGGGCTAATGGGCACTGCCTCAGCACTTCCTTATAGCTGGTGACTGAAGGTCGCTCCTGACCAGCCTTCTTGTACAGGTTTGCCAGCATCATGTTTATCTGTAATGAAAAGAAAGGACAATAAGGTAAGTATATATTTAAAAACAAAATCTCACCATCAATAAGTCCTGATTTTTATTATCAGCTATTCTACTTTTTACTGGAAAATCTACCCAAAGCTGTGTGGAAATAAAGCCCAACCCCATTCTTCAAACCAAAGAGGAAATTACTACTTTGTTTTTCCTATGTCCTCCCATTTCCCCCCAAATTCTTCTCACTTACCCAGCCAAAAGGTCCAAAAATATCTGGACCAAAGATGCTGCCTCTGGAAATGGAAGTAACCTTCATTTGAGAAATGTTACAGAATTCTAATTACCTTGATTTTTAAGACAGAAGATGAACTACCCTAAAAATGCTTGTTTACATATTTTATTTTTTAAGTTTATATATTCTAAATGCAATTAATATCACAGCATGAGAAAGTGAGGAATTCTTAACACAGCTAATTAAAAAAGATCAGATGAATTTTCCCCAAAAAGGAAATGACAGATACAGAATAAAACACTTCGCTTCTCTCTGACAATTGGTCTAGCAGCTAGACTCTAGCCTTTCTGATGCTTAAAGCTTTGACCCACAGGTACTGTCTGATTGATCAAAGTAATGCTACAAAAATCAAACTCTAACTGACCTCTAGAGGTGATGATGATCCTGAGATCAGCTACACTATTTAAATATAGTGAATGCATTTTTAGCACAATTCAAATATGTAACTCAGAAAAGCTCTAGTTAAAAAAAAAAAAAAGAAAAAGAAAAACCCTTCCTAAAAATGCAACAGGGAAAATTTGAGAATACCTAAAAGTTCCAAAGAATATAGAAGTTACAGGGAAGGGATAAATATTCTTAATAGTACAAAGACAAAAACACAATTTTCCAATTTAAAATTAATAGGTATTAAATAGAACACATTGTTTGCCAGATCATTACCCTAAGGAAGCAGTCAACATGAGGGCACAAAAGAAAAAAAAAGCCAATCCCCAATCTCCTCAATTATCTGTAGCTTGGTATGCCAGACACTTACTAAAAATTATGAAGATAAAGAACATCAACATCTGTTCCAATTATGAACTCATAGTATATAAAAATCTAGTATGCCATTAATCCATACTGAATCAAACAATGAAATAATGGATACTGGAAATAAAACTTTTTTTTTTTCATTCAGATGGTCTTTTAATCGGCTTCATGAAGCCAAAGAAAACTGCTTATAAGAATTCCTTCACCCCTTCAGATACAACACTGATGGGACATGTGTACGTCTTCCGGCAAAAAAGGACAATTAAATACACATTTTCAAGAACCTCTCAGGGATGTCTGCAAATCTACTGTGGGTCCCACAGGACAGGTGGACGCCCAGGCCAGGGCAGCCCGGGTGCTCTGCTGCCACCTGCACGGTTCTACCACGCTACACTCAGAAACATGACACCGAGTTGGAAAAAAAGCTACAACTTGCTCAGCTTCGGACAAAGAGCAGATTCAGAGTCTGTTCAATCTCAAAGAGAAGTGACTCGGGGCACCCAACTTCACGGGGCCGACCCCAATGAAAAGAAAAAGAAAAAAAGCAACACAACTGAAAACAAAAAACAAAACTCACAACCCCTGGTGATTTTCTGAAAAAAACCTCTTGGCTCACGGTAAAATGGTAAAAGTAAAACTGGAAGTGCTCTTCAAAACGTTTTTTTAAGACTCTTAAAAACAGAAAGCACTTCCTTAAAAAGCGAAGTGTAGTAACAAGGCCATCTGGGGGCCAGAAGCAGTCAGGCTGTGTTTGACAAGATCAGAACCAGTAAGACTACAAAAGTGGGTACAAGGACGTGTGATCACTACACATTAACGATTCAGCGGAGCTCCCAAAATCTTTAAACATACGGCCACTGGAAGGACGATCTCGAGCAGGAAGGATTTTTACTCGTTGTGTGTAGCATAACTGTTGCAGCTGTCTCTGTAGGACCCGCCCGAGCTCCGGTCACTGCAGCTGCCACCCTGACTCCGGCTGCTGTAGTAGTCTCTGGAGCCTCCATAGCCCCCACTCCTGGACTCGAACTAGCTCCTCCTGTAGCCGCGGTCCCCTCCTCCTCTGGAGAACCCAGGGCCCCGGCCTCGGCCCCCACGGAAGAAGCCCTGGCCCCCAGCAGAGCCAACTCGGTACCTGCGGGACTGGTTACCAGACGACTTGCCAGCCTGGTCGACCCAGATCTGCCGCCCATCCACAGACTTCCCGTTCATAGCCATCATGGCGTCCTTGGCATCGCTGATGTTCTCAAAGGTGACAAACCCAAAGCCCCTCAATCGCTGGGTCTCCCTGTCTTTCACGACCACCACTTCTGAGATCTGTCCATATTTTGAGAAGACCTGCTCCAGTGACTGCTCGTTGGTGTCAAAACTCAGCCCTCCGATGAAAAGCTTGCCTTCATGTGATGCCATGGCGGCCAATGAGTCGGGCAGGTCCCTGGCACAGGCGGAAAGATGGCACGGCACAACGGCCCGAGCTCCTAACGTGCAAAGTGACTCAAAACTATTTTTTATTTGGCCTCAGATTTTCCATTTTAGGCTATGTTGAAATGCAAAAAAAGGTACTTAAAGGAAAACTCCAGTACTGGTGTCAATACTTGAAAAAAATAAAAGAATTAAATTTAATATCCTTTCTTGACTGCTTATTATTAGCAAACTACGACGGACGGACCATCTGTCTCAACAATATTAAAATTCCCTTTAAACTACCTGACACTTTGAAAGAGTGAGTTTTGAGTACTACCTAGTAGGAAAGTCAATTCTTTTTAAAACAGATCCTTACTTGGGGGCATCATTAAAGCTACATTCTACCAGTTACAAACACAAGCAGTTATCGTGTTCTAAAAACTGAGTGAGAAATTGTTTGTTGGTATGTTTCTCTTAAAAGTTGAAGATTTTCCAAGATATAATAATTTCACACTGGAATTTTCCTTTAAAATTGTGAAACAGTGGGTGGCAGTGTTTACCATACATTAACAAACATTTATTTTGACTCACTTCCTTGTTCTTTACACAGACTGAGAAGCCAGTTAACTCCCTAACAGACAAGAAAGAAAAACTGTAAATATTCTAGGTTTATGTGTGAGGCACACATCTTTGCTTGCTCCTGGCTACAACAGCTCTACAGAATGAAGAATGAAAGATATGTACTCCTAACATATGTGGACTCCTCTGGTCTCTCCTGAAATGATGGCTGTAAACACCAAAGTGCTGGATACAAAGCTCAGCTTCTTTGCCATTACTCATTTTAAAATATGTCCCTGAACTCCCTCAAGTCATCAAGGAAGAAATTACGGTACACTTCCAATAAGATAAGGAATAGGTACCATGCAAAGTTTATAATCAAAACAGCATTTTCCAAAATAAGACACTCTTTACATATACAAAAAAATTATTCTTGGAGTAACACTTTCATAGCGTACCAGAACATAATTTAGTATACAGCGCCCAGCTTATTATGAGACAAGTTAATCTATAATATACTTACAAATGTTTTTAATAACAGCTATCACCATAAAATATACTGAGGAAATAGCTTACTTTTGAAAATTCAGAAAATATTAAATAAATCCTCAACATGAGGAGATGCTTCAACATGTTCTCATAAAGTTTGATTATTTACTTTTAAAACTCAGTAACACCTGGGTGAAAAAACACTAACTAAATACACCAGGTCCCTACTGGTTATGATTCCTTTTCTTTTAAGGGCAGGAAGATGTACATAGACGTCATACCTATAAAATTCCTTATTGTTAAGCACACACTGCACAGAACAGTTTTTCAATGAAATGAGGACGGTAGGTGACATGAGAGTATGAAGAATATTAAATACTGATGTGAATTTACTCCTAAGAGCTAAGATTTTCATTGTTTTTCTAAACTGGACTTCAAAAAAAACTGTAATCAGAGATGCCCAATATAATACTCCTTATAGAATAGTACTTTTAAAAAGTATTCTCACATACATGAACTCAACTTATACCAGAGAAAGTACCATTATCCTCAGTAAGGAAAAAAAAAGTAAAGCCAGATTTTTAACTTGTGCCAAGTTCACACTGCACACAGCTTGAATGCCCTAAACTCAGACAAGACACCAGAACTTTTGATTTCAGTTGAAGGTGTTCTATACATTATAATATGTTGACAAATCAAACGTACAAAAGGATCTTGTAGTCTTAATTCTGAAAATGAAAGGAATACACACTATCAAATGCGTATACCTAAAGAATGCAAAAAATGAGGTTCTAAAAAGTATTATTGCTACCTGGAAGTATACTGCAAATCATATTTCCTACAATAAGAAACACCAAAAAATAAACATATGTAATATTATTCTCCAGCTACCACTTTCATTAGCTGAATTTTCAGGGTCTCATAAGAAAGTCACTCCTCCATCTCTCTAAACAGGCAGAACAGGTGAACAAAGTGGGAATTAGAGACAAGGATAAAATGTTCAGATGGAATCCTTGAAAACATGGCAGAAGAGGGCTGGAAGGACTGGGGAAGAGAAAAATATGTAACAAGTTGTTAATTCAACTTACTTTGGGAGTTCTTTGTCTTGAAGGGATCCCATCAAGAATAGCAATGGCATCTTTATCTTGTTTTAGCATTGTATAACATTCAGCCATTTTGTACTTTACTTCAATTTCAGATGGAAGACACTTAAGAGGAAATGAAAACATCTCTTCAAAATATTACTTCAACAGTATAGCAGTTCTTCAAATTGTTAAACATAAGTACCATATGACCTAGCAATTCTGCTTTTATGTATACAGCCAAGAGAACTGAAAACATGTCCACACAAAACCTGTATACAAATGTTCATAGCAGCATTAATAATAGATAAAAAGTGGAAACAAGGCTTCCCTGGTGGCGCAGTGGTTAAGAATCCACCTGTCAATGCTGGGGACACGGGTTCGAGCCCTGGAGGAAGATTCCACACGCTGCAGAGCAACTAAATCTGTGCGCCACAACTACTGAGCCTGCACTCTAGAGTCCACGAGCCACAACTACTGAGCCCATGCGCCTAGAGCCCAGGCTCTGCAAGAAGAGAAGCCACCGCAACAAGAAGCCCACACACCACAACGAAGAGTAGCCCCTGCTCACCGCAACTAGAGAAAGCCCACGTGCGGCAACGAAGACCCAATGCAGCCAAATAAAAATTAATTAACTATTTAAAAAAGTGGAAGCAACCCAAATGCCCATCAACTAATGAATAGTTAAAATATGGCATATCCATACAATGGAATATTATTCTGCAATAAAAAGGAATAAAGAACTGATTCTTTATTCCATGCTGTAACATGGATCACCCTTGAAACCATTATGCTAAGTAAAGGAAGCCAGCCACAAAAGGCCACATATTGCACAATTCCATTCATATAAATGTCCAGAAGAGGTAAACCCACAGAGGCAGAAAGGTTAGTGATTCCCAGGGGCTGGGGAGATAAAGGGCAGAAGGTTTCTCTAGGGTGATGAAAATATTCTGGAATTAAGACAGTACTGATGGTTGTACAATTCTGTGAATACACTAAAACCCACTGAATTATGAATTTTATGTTGTGAATTGTATGTCAATTTTTTAAAAGACTCTTTAAAGATTAAGTGTATTTGATTCACATGGAAGGTTCAGCACGGTGCTAAGCATACAGAGCGCTCAAAAACAGTTAACTACTGGCCTTCCCTGGTGGCGCGGTGGTTAAGAATCTGCCTGCCAATGCAGGGGACACGGGTTCGAGCCCTGGACCAGGGAAATTCCACATGCTGCAGAGCAACTAAGCCCGCGAGCCACAACTACTGAGCCTGCGAGCCACAACTACTGAAGCCCGCATGCCTAGAGCCCGTGCTCTGCAACAAGAGAAGCCACTACAGTAAGAAGCCTGCTCACCATAACAAAGAGTAGCCCCCACTCACCGCAACTAGAGAAAGCCTGCGCACAGCAACTAAGACCCAACAAAGCCATAAATAAATAAATTTTAAAAAAGGAGTTAACTACTTCTATGAATGATTCTGTGTGGATAATACACATGACTTCCATTCAGTGTCAGAAAACAGAATTCCTGGCAATCAGCTCTTCAATAACAAAAACAAAGGTTCTGGGCTTCCCTGGTGCCCCAGTGGTTAAGAATCCGCCTGCCAATGCAGGGGACACGGATTCGAACCCTGATCCGGGAAGATCCCACATGCCGTGGAGCAACTAAGCCCATGCGCCACAACTACTGAGCCTTTGCTCTGGAGCCCGCGAGCCACAACTTCTGAAGCCTGTGCACCTGGAGCCCGAGGAGAAGCCCGCGCACCGCAACGAAGAGTAGCCCTTGCTCACTGCAACTAGAGAAAGCCCGCACGCAGCAACGAAGACCCAACGCCGCCAAAAATAAATAAAAATTAAATAAATTTTTTAAAAAAAGCTTCATTTTAAAACAAAAACAAAGGTTCTACATAAAAAGAAAGGAAACAAGAAGAAGATGTACAGGCTTTAAAAAAAAAGCAATGATGTTACTTTGTATCTTTTTTTAATGTGGAAAAATACAGAACACAACTCATAATTTCACTTCCAGTTCATTCTACTGACATTCCTCTTAAATAAGTTGCGTGTATAATTTAAATTTAAAGACAGATTCAAACTGAAAAGTCAAAGTTCCCCTCTCCCTAAAGCTTCCCATTAAATGTATTTCCTTCACGCACACAGAAAATTTTTCATGTATATTAACCATATATATTTTAGGCATACACCAAGATATACTTATATAACTATAAACTATCCCCTTTAGGGAATTCCCTGGCGGTTCAGTGGTTAGAACAACGTGTTTTCACTGCCCAGGGCCAGGGAGGGCCCGGGTTCAATCCCTGGTCCCGCAAGCCGTGCGGTGTGGCCAAAAAATAAAAATAAAATAAATAAACTATCCCCTTTAAACAAAAAGAGTAGTGAACACACTGCTTCAAACCTTATTTTCTTTACTAATATACACAGTGTTTTCCACATCAGCACATACACCTCTATATTTCATTTCTTCAATATTTCCATCATATTCCATCCTAGGGCTATATTATAATTTAACTAGATCCTACTGATAAACACTTTTGCTTCCAGTTTCTTACCATTATAAACAATACTACAATAAGCAGCCTTAGTTATATACCCTTGTAAACCTTTTGTGAATCTACTATTAGGATTAATTTCTAGCAATGGGATGACTGTCCAATGGTGAAATTATAATTTTTTACCCTTCATTTATTTAATTATCAAGCAACCAAAACTAGTAGGAATTCATAAGATTATTTTATATAAATTTCCCCAGGTGCTCACTATCCTAAAAACTGAGTTACAGTTTAAGAGTGTACTTTCATTAAAATTATTAAAAACACTTTAGATTTTGAGTTCTGTTTGTATAAAAGGGAGGAACAGGGACTTCCCTGGCGGTCCAGTGGTTAAGACTCCGTGCATCTAACACAGGGGGCGCAGGTTCAATCCCTGGTTGGGAAACTAAGCCAATAAATAAATAAATAATAAAATAAAAGGAAGGAACAATGAAAGGCTTTGGTTAGAGCCTAGATAATTCCATTTAATTTTTAAACTAATTAATTTAAAATTTAATTCTATTTTTAGATTCATCCATAGAGTGAACTTTGCTTCTAGCCCTTAGTGCTTGGTTGGATGCATTCTTGCATCTAAGTGGTTTTTCATCTTTGTTTCTCCAGTCAGCTCCCCTTTAAAATTACTTTTTATTTTACTTCTTCTACATCTAATCAGCAGTCTTTCAAATTCCTTCAGCGTCTCTTGCTCTCAAAACAACCCAACCAACCAAAACCACATCACACATCTATTTCCAATTACCTGACTTTGTGGAGTGGATGCAGAATTTCCAGTTGAAGGTCTCACTTTTGAAGTTTTACTTAAGGCTTTCTTCTGCTGTAAAGCCATAGTATACTTACTCACAGCATTCCGATATTCCTTATCGTGAAAGAGAGAATCTGCATGATACACCAAAAGCTGGTACTTCTGAGATGGGGAGAATAACTCACTAGAAAACAAAGAAAGTATACCCCCTACATGGGTTGTTTTGAAATGTAAGAAAGAACGCTCTCCTTAGTGTCTACATAAGCCTAATACACCTTGTGTTGACAGTTTACAAAAAAGTAAATTTACCTTAACTGCTACTCCCCCAAAAAAGAGGCAAGAGTCATACTTCATGTCAATATGGTCAACACATGTAGAAAATTGCCTTAAATTGTTCTCTTTACTATAAAAACAATTGATACATCTAAATCAAATTCAGTAATACAGAGATATATAAAGAGAAATGTAATACAGTTGACCCTTGAACAAACCAGGTTTGAATTACAAGGGTCCACCTATATGTACAGATTTTTTTCAATAGCACACACTACAGTACTACACCACTCTTGGTTGAATCCATGTATGCAGAACTGCAGATATGGAGGAAATGCATATATAAAGGGCCAACTATAACTTATACGTGGATTTTTGACTGTGGGGAGGGTTGGCACCCCCTCCCCTCCCCTGAAAGTTGTTCAAGGGTCAACTGTATCTTTTCCTCCCCTTCTTTAACCCAAGCCTTCTTAATTGAAGAGTCTGATATATATCCATAACTCTCATAGTAACATCAATTTTTAGGGTAATACAGACAAAAGAGAGCAATCATGACTTAACTAATATTACTAAAGTAATATTAGTTTAACCCTACCAAATAAGGGTTAATATTACTTTATAGGGTTAATATTACTTTAACCCTACCAAAGAAGGGTTAAAGAACCTGGAAAAGAGAAACTCACCACTCTGAATCATTTTTAGCTAACTGCTGAACAAAAAGAGGTTCGGAGGGTACTTAAAACTCTTCAAATACTGAAGAAAATGGGAATACTAAAATACCGAAGTATGGGAATAGACTAGGATAAGCCAGTGGGACAGAGTGGAACAGAATGAGAGAGGATTAGCCTTATTTGATGAAAGGTTTTTTTTTTTTTTTTTTACATACAGAAGTAAACTTCACTAACAAGAATTTTTACTTCCTTGAGTCTCAGGGGTTTAAGGACAGCGTAACGGAACCAATACATTTCAGAACCTTTTCTTTAACCTTGAATATTGCTCACAAGTGTTATAAGTGCCTAGGACTGGCCACCAATCTTAATGGGAAACCCGTATTTTTAATCTCCAATCCCATCCTTCCCCCAGTTAGAGTTTACATTTTTTCATTGACAGGGAAAACCTACAGCCACTTAAAATGAAAGAACAGTCAGAGTCAAAGAACTCTGGAGACGGTTAACTGCTTAGCAAATGAAGGATACTCAAGAATAGGTACCATAGATTAGTAGGTGCCAGGGGCTGGGGCAAGTGGAATTGGTGAGTGACTACTAATACATTTGGGGTTTCTTTTGGAGGTAACGCAAATGCTTTGGAACAGACAGTGGTGACAGTTGTACAACTCTGTGAATGTACTTAAAACCACAGAAATGGGGGCTTCCCTGGTGGTGCAGTGGTTGAGAGTCTGCCTGCCGATGCAGGAGACACGGGTTCATGCCCCGGTCCGGGAAGATCCCACATGCCGCGGAGCGGCTAGGCCCGTGAGCCATGGCCGCTGAGCCTGAACGGGAGAGGCCACAACAGTGAGAGGCCCACGTACCGCAAAAACAAAACAAAACAAAAAACACAGAAATGTATTCTTTAAAAGGGTGAATATGATGGTATGTAAATTTTATCTTAGTAAAAAAATAATTTTAAAAAAAGGATAGGTAGGCTAAGCACTGGATATAAAGTTACAAAGGAAAGTCAAGGACTGAAAGGTACGGTCCAGATAGTTGAGATCTCTTCCAACTCTGAGATTCTATATATTTAGTGAGAAATAAGATGTGAAAGAAAATAGTTGATTTGATAGAAATACTACACTCAGAGAAAGGATTCAGATGTTTATATATTGTAACATACATGCCTACTTATGCATGCGTAAGTTATCTCTGAAATGATACATGAAAAACTGTTAAGTTGTTGCCTCTGGAGAAGGGAAATAGTGGAGTGAGGTTCAAGACTCAGGGTCAGACACTTATCTGCATACCCCTTCAGTACTGTTTGATTTTTTTTTATGGTGTGTACTGGCAATTAAGAAATATTAAAATATAAATGATAAAGGTCAGAATTTAAACACCTCCTGAAGCTAGGAAGGAAACTGCCAGTTTAGCCTAAAATAAAGAACGGGCCAAGTCTAATCAAAGGACCAAACTCCTTCTAACTATCCTGTAACATCTTCAAGAACCAAGAATAATGACTAACTGGTGCATAAATTCCCAATGGTAGACACTGTATGCTTTGACAAATCACTCAGAACCAGGTGAGAGGCTCCAGAATAAACAAAGAAGGCCGACAGAGACCAGGGCTCCTCACTGTCAACACTAAGTGGATGGTGGTAAAATGATGGGTCTCCCGTAGTGAGGTCCAAAAGCACTAATGGAAATGAAATAGGTAGCAACAGCTGCAACGCCCTTAAGTGGCCCAGACAGCTTCCAGAGCAGGCCAAATGCAAATGGGTCCACCCTCAGTAGAAGATCACAATGCCATTTAGACGCAGTAGACTGTGGTGGGTCAGAATGGAGACTTTAGAGTCAGAAGGACCAAAATCCAGACATTGCGGCTCTTCCACTTACCAGATGTGTGAACTTGAACACGGTATTTCACCTTCCTGAGGTTGCACGTATTTCCTTAGCACCTTCAATAAACGTCTGAGTGCGTACTGCACACAGGCACTGTGCTGATTTCATTAGGTGTTAAGTGATGAAGAACATAGATCTTAAAAGTTCCCATCACAGGAAAAACATTTTTCTGTAACTATGTGAGGTGACAGATGTTAGCCAAACTTACTATGATGATCATTTCACAATACAGACAAATATCGAATCATTATGTTGTACACCTGAGACTAGTATGTCAATTATATCTTGGTTAAAAAAAAAAAGTGATGTAGAATATAAAACAGGGCAAAGGGATAGAATGGTGTGGGTAAGGGACAATTCTGGTGGCCAGACAAGAGTTCTCTAGGAGAGAGACTGTCATACAGAGTGAAGTAAGTCAGAAAGAGATAAATATCATATATTAACGCATATATGTGGAACCTAGAAAAATGGTACAGATGAACCGGTTTGCAGGGCAGAAAGTGAGACACAGATGTAGAGAACAAACGTATGGATGCCAAGGGGGGAAAGTGACGGGGTGTAGGATGAATTGGGAGATTGGGATTGACATATATACACCAATATGTATAATATAGATAATTAATAAGAATCTGCTGTATAAAAAAATGAAATTAAATTTTTTTTAAAAAGAGTTCTTTAGGAGGGATATCTGAGCTGAAACCTAAATGAGGAGGCAGCTCTGAGGCGAGGACTCTAAGCAGACCCGCAAATGCAAAACCCCTGAGTTGAGAACGAGCTTGGTGTGTTCAAGTAACAGAAAGAATAGCCAGGGAAGCTGGAGCACAGACAGAGTGAGAGAGAGAGATGTTTGGCCTTGTAGGCCATGGGAAGGAATTTTAATTTAACCAAAAGGGAGAAATTTAAGCACAGGGGCGACATGCACTCAAGGCTGGAAATAGCCCTGTGCTTCATCCGCAATAAGACTCCATAAGCGGCAGCTTTGCAAACGTGAAAAGGGCAATGCGAGTCCTTCAAAAGGTGCCACTCTCACCCATCAAGGAAGTCTCCCGTTTTCAGGTGTTTGCAGGGACGAGAAAGTAAATAAACCCTACTGACACACCTAGGGAAAAAATCAATCTCAAATGCAGAACAAGGGTCTAAAACCAGGCGATTGGGCTTCTTTGAGCCTCGGCGAGCGAGAAAACGTTCTTCGGGAAGGAGCTGGGAAGGGATGAGTCAGCCCAGCGATGTGACAGTCGCTATGCCGGGCGACAAGTTCCTTAGGAAAACCTCTGCTCCCAACTTTCGGGAAACCCTAGCCAGGGTGGTCCTCAGAGCCCCCGCCTTCCGTTTCTCAAAGCAGCCGCTCGCCGCATCCCCCGCAGGGAGCGCATCCCAGCGCCCGGCACAACGCGGGGACCCAGAGAACTCAACTTCGTTCCTAAGTCGGCTCCGCCCGACGAGGCCCTCGCTGACCTCGGAACCTCAGCTGGGGCCCGCAGCCGTTCCTTCCCGCCAATCCCCACGTCCCCTCAGCCCCCGTTCCCAAACCGGCGCCGCTTTCTCCTCAGCCCCAGGCCGCTCCCCGCCTCAACTCACGGGTTGTTATTACTCATTGTAAGTAACAAGCTGCTGAGGAGCCGCACGTTGGAGTGCAGCCCCGCTGCCGCCATGTCTCGCAAGTGGTCTATCACATTCATTCTGCCCAGCAAGGCCGCCGCGGCACCACCGTGAAGAGAAGGTTGAAGCTCCTTTGGGAAGACTCCAAGATGGCCGCCTCGCCAGGGTCCATCGGGTCTACACGCGGCACCGCCCCCAGGATAATAGGCAGCTACCGAAATGCCTGAGAAAAACGAAAACAAAAACAAAACCCTCAGTTCCTTCCCCGCCAAGCCCCCTGTGAGGTGGTACGATTTGGTTTGGGGTGGGGGGGGTTGTTTTTAGCAAAAGTTACATCATCATTCTAAGCTGCAAACTTTATGGAGGGCTTACAATGCGCTGGGGACAAAAGGCAACTCAGGACGAATGCATGCCCAATTGAAATGAGTCTGAGAGCACTCTCAGAAATTAATAAAAATGTATTGATATTTATCATAAATAAAAGTTAATATACTAGTAGGATGCAGGGGGGAAAAAAATCCCCAACAGCTGGAATTAGATATTTTAATCAGGCGCCAGGGGCAGTCCTAACTGCTTTTAGTCTTGCACGAGCGCGAAGGCTGAAAGCGCCACGCCCCCTCCCCTCAGGTGTTGCGTGTACCTTTGGGAGTACGGCTTCACTCTTTGGGTGCAAAAGGACGTATTTTTACCATGGGAAATTACTCACTAGCTCAGAGTGAATAAAGACTAGGTTGAGTTTTAGCCGTCCTAATATGAGTGTAGTGTTATCTTGTGATTTTTATTTGCCATTCCCTAATGACGTATGAAATTGAGCATCTTCTCATACGCCTATTTGCCATCTGGGTATCTTCTTTGGTGAGTTATCTGTGCAGTTCTTTTGTCCATTTTTTAGTCCGGGTGTTCGTGTTCTTTTTTTTTTCTTTCTTTCTTTCTTTTTGGCCGCAGGGCGCGGCTTGTGGGATTTTAGTTCCCCGACCAGTGATCGAACCTGGGCACTCCGCAATGAGAGCGCGGAGTCCTAACCATTGGATGGCCAGGGAATTCCCAGGGTGTTCGTGTTCTTATTGTTCAATTTTAAGGGTTCTTTGTGTATTTCGGATAGCAGTCCTTTATCAGATTTTATCAGAGAATATTTTGAAAATATTTGCTCCAAGTCTGTGGCTTGTCTCATTCTCTTGACCACTCCCTCGCTTTAACTTTCAGTAAGAGTCCTGAAATGAATGACTAATAATAATGGCCCGAAAAGAAACAGTGAAAATATTATTTTATTAAACTTCATCTAAATAATGATGTCAGTAAAATTTTTAATGAAAAAATAAAACCAATATTACAGGACAAAAAGTTAACGGATTAATACTTTTTAATTATATTAATGTATTTTTAAAAACTGTTACCCTACATGTTGGATTAGCAAAGAAATGAATAATATAGAGTTTCTGGTCTTGACCTTTAAATTCTGAAAACTTGTCAATGACTGCCAAGCTGATCATCTTTGCGTATTCATGTTCCATACACAGTGTAAACAGATTTGTCAATTATTGGAGCACAGCCATGAAAAGACAGGGAGGAAACTTAAATGCATATTACTAAGTGAAAGAAGCCAATCTGAAAAAGTTACATTCTGTATGATTCCAACTATATGACATTCTGGAAAAGATAAAACTGGGGACAGTAGAAACATCAGTGGTTGCCAGGGAAAGAGGGGAGGAAAGAAGAGGTGGAGCAAAGGGCATTTTTAGGGCAGTGAAACTATTCTATACGACACTATGATGGTAGATACATGTCATACACTTGTCAAAACTCATAAAATGTACATCACCGAGAGAAATCTAAGGTAAACTATGGACTTTGGGTGACAATGGTAGGTTCATCAGTTGTAACAAATGCACCCTGAATGTGAGATGCTGATAGTGGGGCAGGCTGTGCACGTGTGAGGGCAGGGGTATATAGGAACTCTCTGTTAGTTGCCCTCAGTTTTGCTCTGAACCTAAAACTGCTTGAAAAAATTAAACTTAATAAAAAAGAAGAAAGAAGGGGGCGTGTCAAAATTGACCTTCTCTGGGTGTCAAACACACTAGATACACCATTGTATCTAACACACTTGCAACAATGGCACACACAGTAAACATTATATAAATGCTTGCTATTATACTTTTTTCTACATTTGAAATATTTCATAATTAAAACCACATCTAATAATAGCAAAAAGTGGAAACAAGTGAAATGTTCACCAGCTGATGACTATATCACCAAATATGGTATATTCATACAATGTAATCCTATTCAGCAAAAAATTAAAAACGAAAAGAACAAACTACTGAGAACAACATGAATGAATCTCAAAAATATTATGCTAAATATAAAGTCATGGTAGGTGAAAGAAATCAGACCAGAAGAAAAAAAAATCACATAATCCCTGACTCCATGTATATGAAATATCCAGAAAAAATAAACTGAAAGCAACAGAAAGATTTGTGATTGCTTGGTGGCGAGGGTGGGAACAAACACAAAAGCCCATGTTCTGGGACTTCCCTGGTGTCGCAGTGGTTGGGAGTCCGCTGGGACACGGGTTCGAGCCCTGGTCTGGGAAGATCCCACGTGCTGCGGAGCAACTAAGTCCGTGTGCCACAGCTGCTGGGCCTGCGCTCTAGAGCCCGTGCGCCACAACTACTGAAGCCCATGCGCCTGAAGCCTGTGCTCCGCAGCAAGAGGGGCCACCCCAAGGAGAGGCCCACGCACCGCAACGAGGAGTGGCCCCCGCTCGCCGCAACTGGAGGGGGTCCTCGCGCAGCAACGAAGACCCAACGCAGCCAAATAATAAGTAAATAAATGTATTTTTTTTAAAAACAGCCCATGTTCTTATGGAGCTGACATTATAATGAGGAAAGATAAACAGTAACTAAGTAATACAAATAGTATTACGAGAAGGTAATAAAACATACTAAAGTATTTATGGAAGAAAAAATGTATAGGGTTTACTTTAAAATATTCCTGGGAGTGGAGGGAGATAGATGAAACAAAATTAGCAAAATGTTGATATCAACTGAAATTAAGTGGCAGGTACATGGGAGTTCATTATGCTATTCTTTCAACTTGTATGTATATTTAAATTTTCCATAAGTGTTTTTTAAAGGTGCTTAAAAGGTAAAGAAGAAAGAAAGGGAGTGTTGGGGCAGGGGCTGCCATTTTTAATCAAAATCAGAGAAGGCTGCACTGATTAGGTGACATATGAGTAAAGACCTGAGGGAAGGAAAGTGGGAGCCATGTAGAAATCTACAGGGAGAGGATCCCAAGCAAAGGAAAGAGCAAGCTTAGAGGTCTGAAGTAGGAGTGAGCTTGGCATGTTACAGGAAGAGTAAGGAGGTAAGTGGGCTGGAGCTGAGCAAGCGGGGAGAGGAGTAGGAAACAAGTTCATGGATGCCAATGGAGAGTCTTGAGCAGAAAAGTAACATGATCTGACTTGCTTTTTAAGAGGATTGTTCTGTCTGATGCGTTAAGAGTAGATTGGAGGAGGCAATCAAGTCCAAAATGTCCAAGTGCCAAGGTTGAGAAGGCCTGTTATAAAGGGAAGGAGGAAATGAGTGACAGCAGGTGGGGGAAACAGAATAAATATTTTTTTTTAAGATGGAAGAAATAACATGTTTATATCCTGATGGGAATGAAGGAGAATATATCACTAGCTAAATGGCAGGAGAAACGTTGATAATTTCTATAAAGAAATAGTGCTAAAAGACATCTGTGGAGTTGATAAACCACACAAAGAATGCATGAAGCAAAATATTTATAGAGAAAAAGAAGCAAAGGAGAGACCACCTCCTCTGGAAATTTTTTTAAAATCCTCTTTAAAATAAATTACTCCAAAATAGGATGGATTCCATGGTTAAGTTCCATTAACCTCATGTAAGTCAGATCATACTGATTTTCATATTATACAAAGGACACATGTAATATTAAACTAACATGGGACACACAAGAGATAAATCCAAGGGGAAAAGCCTCCTCTTTCTCATGGAATCATCATCTTCTAAAATGATAATTTTGTAACTGGAGGGGTCTTTTCAGACACACAGCTGGCCATGAACATTTAGACAACCCACTTAGATGCAGAATGATGTGAATTCCATGGAGTGTTGAATCAGATACATTTAGAGGAACAATTTATAAATGTAAATGTTTTGCTCCACTTAAGTTCATTTCTAAATCTCCAACAGCCTCCTAAGAATGAAAATCTTTCCCAGCTCCATTAGACATTTTTCTTAGATCTGTCTTTTGTACAAGGGGAAAAACATAACACTTGTAAATTGCTCTAAGGGAAACATTACTTAATATCTCTTAAGTGTCTCCTGGCAGTGATAGCCTTCCTTTCAGTGGAAAAGTAACTTTAGGACAAAGAATTTGCCTGGACAACTGGAGGGAATAAATATAGCCATCTTTCCAAATGATTTTCCCTCTTTTCAGTAAAAGTGGCTGGCAAAGCAATATATTCTAGGGTTCTAAGGTGTCCAGATTGGCACTTTGTTTATGAGATGGTCAGACAAGTAAGGACAGAGCAACTAATTCACACACAAATGCAAAACCAACAAGGCTTGCTGAGTTAGAGTTCAACTGCCATAAAATAAAGTTTTCTGGAGATTTTAATACTATTAACAACCCCCTCCAAGAAATTCCTCTCTAGGATTCGCATGTTTTATTGATCCACCCTTTATTCCGATTAACCTCTTAGACTGATTCTTTGCTGAGTCCTTCCTTCTTCCTGATTCCTAACTGCTGACTTGTCTCAGGGATCAAATTCTATCTCCTAATTCCGCTAAAGACCTCCTGTCTCTCAAGTCTTTATTTCTATTGCTTTCACGTATATTTTTGTTTGCTGCTGGATATCACCCAGGCCATCAGCTGCCCCCTCACACTCAAAGTGCTCAGAATTAAACTCATCTCCCACACCCCTTCCAAAGGACTTCCAATTATTGATTTCTAGAAGTTTGCTCGGGACAATTCCAGTTTATGACTGCTGTTCCAGAATTAATTATAGCACGCTCTTTTATGCTCAAGAGTTTGGATGACAAATTATGTCATCACCCAACCTATTTTCATCAAAGGAACTGCTATTGTCCAAGTCAACTAGACTCAAAACTAAAACAAACAACAAAAAAATCCAAAAAGCAAACAAACAAACAAACAAAAAAACTC